TCATGTTGTATGCATGACTACATATTTAAATGTTTTCACATTGAATTTCAAACTAAATAATAATAATTTTTTAATAAATATATTGTCAAGTGTGGTAAATTAAAACGTTGTATAAGTGTCTTATATATATAAAGTTGGGATCCACTAACAAGCCTTATGCATTAGATTTACACAAAATTTCAACCATTCATTTTTTTTATTTTTAATTGTTTTTGATATATCTTTTTCGTCTAATTAATGAATCTCAATTATTAAAAGTGAAAAGATAAATGATTAAGATTTTGTATAAATTTGATATATAAAACTTGTGTGTAAGTAAATTTTTACTATACATAAAAGAAAAGTGAGTATTTGTATTGCAAAAAATTAGGTAAAAATATTTGAAAACTATGTCATTTTAGTAAAATCTTATTAAAAAACTAAAACATCTTAACTATTTTAAAAATAGAAATAAGGATATTTTAACCTTTATATAATACTTTATTAAGATAATGTAATTTAAAAGTATTTTTTATCTAATTTTTTAAAAACATGACCGGTAAATATTAATATATATGTATATTAATTTCAATTTTCATTGGAGTAATACTCTCCCTCTCCTCCAAAGGATTAGATCAATCTTCTACTTTTTAACTTATTTGTTACATTTTGGTTTCTATTATTTTACATGTAATCAAAATCTTGGGAGAAGATAGAGGATACTGAAGCGTGCAGCCTGTGAAGAAGCCTTTCCCCTAGCCCAGCATTTCTTTTCGTCATTTGGAGAAAGCACAATCCACAAAAGCAAGGTGCACTTTTTTTTTTTTTTTTTTAATATATCATTACCTGTTATCTCATATTCTTTGAATTTGTATAGTACATTAACAGTATTTATATTGCTATTCATTTTTTAACGAATTTTTGGAAAGAGGATTAAGTTGGTTTCAGAAATAATACTCTAATATTATTTTTAATTTAGAAAGAGAAAACAATCTTTAAGTTATTCTGAAAAAAAAAAGTACACGAATGTCGGCGAAATAATTTTATAGGTATTTATGAACTTTCCTTCTTGGAAGTCAAAATGTCAAAAACACTTTTCTGATTTATTGACGGTTATGTGGCCCTTAGGAAAATAATTATGCAATAGGACAAATTTACCCTTACAAAAAAAAAAGAGAAATCACCTACTACCTTTTTGAGTTGGACAAATTGGTAAAAATATAATGTTTGACGTCATCCTCCTAAGCAATCCTTCAACTCCAAGCTTAGCTGGCCAACACGCTGGACGCTT